GCACTGTTCATCCGCGGCATTTTTTTCTCTCTACCGAACAGCTTGGGAAGAAAGGCGCGAACGAAAACGACCATTTTAGCGGCAAAATGGCGTTGGATTGGAGATGAAATACGGCATTTTTTGATTTCCCTGCATTTTGGAGTGAAAAATGACATTTTCGGTTGGAGATGCTCTTATAAGTGTTTAACACTGTTCTGTTTCTTCGCTAATCTAACTTTGTGATCCACAAACATCTGTGAAAGTGCAATTTCAAGCTCATTTAAAAAAAAAAATACACAACAGAGCAGCATCAACAAGGCCTTCAACATTGCAATTTAGATACTAGAAAATTATTATAGAAAGCAAGAAAAAAGCTGTCACACATGAAGCCTAAAGCTTCATTTGAGATAGTTTTTTGTTGCTTTCTAAAACAACTTTTTGATACAAAAAAGTTGTTTTAGAAAATACCAAAAAAATTGTCTCAAATGAAGTCTAAAATATATAATCCAATACCTTCCCGCAAATCGGACAACTGTCACTTATTTCCATCCACTCATACGTACAACTTAGATGATAGTGATGAGAATATTTTGTCTCAATTTTCGGGTTTTCGGGATTGTATTCTGCTTGAGAGATTACAAAACAAAACAAAATTAGATCAAGATTCCATGTCAAACGACTTTGAATTAAGGAAGTAGTAACAATGCCTTTATATGCAACATGTTTTTTTTTATTATAATGGTTGCGGGCTAGAATATACGCGTCGGTGGAGTTATAAAATTTAGGGTCTAAGTGTTGTACGAATATCTAGCACACACAAACAGGAGATAAAATAACATCATGATTTTTACGCGGAACACCCTAGAAAGGGAAAAAACTACGGGGCCATGCCTAATTGAAAAGTTCAACTAGTGCAATTTGAGAGACAAGAGGCTGATTCGTCCCACAAGTTAGGACGATCATATTACAATGAGTTTCTTCTGAACTGAAATTTAGTTACAAAGTCGAACAGAGTTTCGGCGTCACTTGGACGTCCGGCGGGATTCTGGCGTCGTTCTGACGATGAGAAGAACTCCGGCGGTGATCGAGGAGGAGCCGTTTTCTCCTCTCCTTCTCTTCTCTTCTTCTTCTTCTTCTATTCTTCTTTTTGCTTGGGGTCCCTCTTATGAGAAATGAGGAGTCTATTTATAATTTTTCTGAAGTGGCATAGCTCGTAAATAGGCGTGAGATCAGGGTCAAATAGGGAGTGGTCGAATGGACGGCTAGGATTGAATCCCTTGATTGTGCACCGTTTGTCAGACATTTGAAGGCCTTAGTGATGTCGGAATTCTATGATCTTGGGCTCATTGGATTCTTCTCGTTGAGCTGTTCGATTCGACTATAAGCTCGTTAAAATCGGAGACCGTTTGGTAACTCAAATTGTGGTACGAGGTTTCCAACAACGCTTCAGGTACTTGATTTTGGCTTATTTGGACTCGGATTGAGTTGAGTTTGGTGTCGTTGGGTTCGTATTTCCAAGACGCTCAGTTTGACTATAAGTTCGCTGAAATCGGAGTTCGGGAGCTCCCAGATTTAATTTTTGAAGTTTTCGACTCGATTTTGCCTCGAGATTCGTGCTTGATCAAAACAATTTTTTTGGGAATATATCAATAATAATAGTGGATGAGGAACAATTTAGGGTCCATTTTGGGGTGAAGTTATTACATGCGGAGTTAGAACATAGCTCTAATTCAGACTCTAAGGAAATCGAGTCCCGTGGCTTGTTCAATCTGGATGCGTCCCGACTCTACACTTAATAATTTCTCCTATTTGAGAGGATTATGACTACTATACAATTATTCACAACTGTTGTGACAGAAATACGTTTTTAAAATTATATACTTTTTAATTCAAAAAAAAAAAAAAAACAATAATTTCTTATAGCTACCTATTGAGTTATGAAAAGTTTGCTCGCCATAAAAATTTCAAAAAAATTATACAATAATAAAAATATAATAGGCAATTATCTTAGTGGATACTGTTGGATAAATCCATAAAAAGCTTTAAATAAAAATTGTCCTAAATGCTACCTGAATATCAACAGCTGCCACTCTTGCTAAACTTCTAATGGGGCAAACATCCTCATAACAATACACTTCTTATATGCATATGATAAGGTATTAGGCATTGAATTTATTATAATTACTAAACATTAAAAGCTAATAAGGTCCAAATTTTAATGTAATTAATATAACCAATACGTGACTAAAATTTTCTAAAATGTTTCAATAATTTTAATAATGCTAAAAATAATTAGTATATCTTATATTTGAAAACTATAATGCTAAATTTTATTGATTTTATTAATGCTTTGATTATTAGTGGGTTTAATCTATAGTATTTAGGGTTTGCTTAGTTTTTATTATTTTATTTTTCACATTATAATCATAATTTTTTTAGCTATTAAAAAAAAAATTATGTGTTAGAATATTACTTTTTATAATAGCTTTAAAAAATTATTTTTTAAATAAAAGCATCTAAATTATTTTTATAAAAAATTATAGCCATCCCAAACATAATTTAAATCCCTTAATAATAATAATAATAATAATTAATAATAATATACCATTCAGTTTCTTGCGAGTTCGTCCGAAACAACCCCTAATTTCCGAATTCCGAAGCTACAATTCTATCGCCATTGCTTCGCTCGCAAGACCTTTGGAAATCCCCAAAGCCAAAGGTGCGGAGACCTGAAACTCTGATCGCAAAGAATTCTCCTTTTCTCTGCTGCATCTGTCAGAATATCCCAAATTTCCCGAGCTTCCTCTCCTCGAATGCGTGAGGTAAGCTTATCTCAGTTGGAATGGCACTTATCCTTCCGGGCCTGGAGTTGGGGTTCAATGAAGAAAAGAGCGACGGATTTTCTATTCTTTATCGTGCCGTTTCTATGTTTTAGTTTTTGGAGTCGATTAGAGTTAGCCACGTGCCTATCTCTGTAGCTAGTTTCCGTAAGATGAATAAGGTGGGATTTTGAATTTCACCGAGGCCTTTGCAAGAAAAAACTAGCGCAAAATACTTCTTGTATCTAGAGTTGTATTGGAACCACTCAAATCCAGTCACTTTTTGGTAAAATCAATGCAGGCTCTTAAAATTTTAAGGTTGCTCAGGGAGACTTTTGAAAAACTTCAAGTGATTGTTGTTGCAGTTATTTTTTTGTTTTTTAATTTTAATTGTTTTAAGTAGTAGATGAATTGGCCCACTGAGATGATTGGAAAGAACCAGCTTTTATAGTTTTTGGTGCAATGAGGAAGAGCAGACTTTTTTTTTAGTGCTATTTGAATGTAATCACAGAAGTCAGTAGTTAGTGTGTTAGCACGTTCAAGGGCGGACCGTGACTGGGAGAAAACTCTCCAAATCACTGGCTTTACAATCACTGTCTTATATAATAGGGTAATTTGTATACAACTTGTGGTTTTGATTTTTTGTTTAAAAAAAAAGTTACAAGACTTTTCAAGAAAAAATAATACATTGACTTTAAACTAGGGTTTCTTGAAACAGTGATTAGGGTTTGTTTTGAAATCCTTGTAAAAGCAAAGTGATATGCTTTAGTGTATGCTTTTTATTGATGTCATGATTCTAATAAGAGAAAATTAAAAAAAAAAGTGAAAATTATAAAAATAGATAAATGCTCATAAGACGTAATTATTAGAATTAGCAAAATAAAAACAAAGTATACGATATAAAAGTTCAGCGGGCATGCTATTACGTCATCGGTCAATATTGCTATAATATAAAGTGATAGTGACATGTGATGTGTTTGGGTATCTTGAATCCATTGTACATGACAATAAAGATATAGCTTGAGTGGTAAAATGAAAAAAAAAGGAGTTTATGCAATAAGTGGTTATCATCAGAGGCATGGAGGTAAATTTAAATAAAACTACAATCAGACATATGATGTTGTATGGATTCAAATGTTTGGTAATAAAAAGTTGTTGATATCCAAGTTAAGTATGACATAAAGGAGAATGTTAAGATGACTATCTTATATAATTAAGAATCTATGATGCACAGACATGGACACGACGACACGAATACGACAGGACACGGACATGGGATACGTCAGTTATTGAAAATATAGGACACGGACGTGGGTTTGGCACATTATTATAGTTTTTATATTTTAAAAGGTGTATAAAAATTAAATAAGTATGATTTTAAAAATAATTTGAAAATAATAAGTCATTTAACTAGAATTTGTGCTTAAAATGATTAATATTAGGATGTCGAGAGTCAGGCGTCAATGTCGTTTATCAGTCACCGAGAGAGGAGATAAAAATACCTTCACTGCCAAAAAGAAATGAAAATGAGAATATTCGATGATTGGGTATTAAGTGGGGACGTTGATTTGGTGTTGTGAATAGGAAATAAAAAATTTATTTTAAATCCCGTCAAATACAAGAAATTATATTTAAAAAAATTCATAAAATATTTAAGATACGCGTGTCCGACACGCGTATCCAATTTGTATTTAATATTTATTAATCAGACACGTTTTCGGCGTGTTTGACACGTGTCGGAGGAGTATCAGGCGAGTGTCATGTCGGACACTGCATGCCTCTTTGAGGAGAAGTGTTGGTGCATCATAGTTAAGAATGATAAATTAAGTAATAATTATATTAGATTAACAATTAGAGTGAATTTTATTGTAGTTAAAAGCAATTGAAAACAGACTTAGGTGGTTTGGACATGTATAATAGGGGCTTGAAAATGTATCCATTAGAGGTGCATATAAAATTAATGTTAGAGGATTATGAAGAAGAAGAGATATGCTTATGCTAACTTGGATATGAGATGTTTAAAACTGTTTTATGAAGAATATATTTCACACCTTAGGTAACACTTTGTTGGAATGAATGGAAGATGATGATTCACAATCACTATATAGTTAAGATAAGGGAAATGATGGTGATGATGACGATATGAAATCCTCGAATTAGTATAAGTAGGGCTGCAAACAAACTGAGCCGAGCCGAGTATGTGAGTGTTCATATTTGAGTTTGTTTATTATTAGCTTGTTCAAGTTCGGTTCGTGTTTGATTCGAGCTTTATTTTTTGTGTGCATGTTTGATTCGTTTAAATTAATGGTGTTCATGTTTGGTTCATGTTCAGTTCATGTTCGATTCGTTTAATGCTTATCGAGCTTTAAACAAACAAGCCTTAACGAGCTATGTTCGTTAACATATTTAGCGAATTCTTTTATACTATCAAACAAGCATGTTTATGAACAAATCTAATGATTATTCTTAAGCTATCAAATGAGCAAGATTATGAACATATACATAACTAGTATTTTTGAGCTACCAAATGAGTTCGTTTATGACTAAACGATCTATAATTCATCTTATATTTGTTCATGAACATCTTAAACAAACAATCTAGCAAACATTGACCAATGTGAAATATCTCTTGTTCATGAACAAATTCATTCTATTGAAGGTATAAAGTAAAATGAAATAAAATTTATAATAAGATCAATTGTCCATTTAAAATGAAAATATGATTAATCTATATGAATATATTTATCCAGCTTATTCATGAGTTCAAAATCGAACACGAATCGAGCTTAATGTCAAGCTTGTTCACGAGCTTCAAATGATGTTGTTCATGAATATAAATGAACCAAACACATTAGTGTTCAAGCTTGTTTATTTAAGGATCGAGTATTACAAATGTTTTTCAAGTTTGTTTGTTTAGTTAGTTAAACGATCACAAACGAGCTTTAATCAAACCGAGCAACGAGTAGCTCGTCGAACGTTTGATTCGCTTGCAGCCCTAAGTACAAGGGTTTGTTATGAAACTGTAGTATGATGTTATATCAAATTTCATGACAAGCCCTAATAATATCTTAGGATTTCAAGAGAAACCCTGGTAGTATTGCTAAGGTTTCAAGAAACAATAGCATAAGTGTAGGGTTTTTTGGCCTTGTCTATGAGATCATATTAACAAAATTCATTGCTTGAAACTATTATTTTTAGTTACTCTCTTTGTTGATGGATTCTTCTTTGCAAATTATCTCTTAGTGGATGTCTCTTCTGTATGAATAGCTTGTACCAAAGGAGATGGTGGTGTTGGTGGTTTCTCCTTGGGCAGTATGAGCTTCATTGCAGCTATCATTGTAGTTATCTGATCTCCCATTTGCTCATTTTGGCTGATCAGACTCGTCACTTGTTTGTAATCTCTTCGTAAAGTCATATATCTTAGTTTCCAATCACCTAGTGTATTTTTACGAGTCCTTAGTGTAACAATGAAAATTTTATTATATGTTGGAATTAGTGCTCTATTATCAATAATAAATTGTAATTATGGTGTGGAAGTCTATCGGAATTCATAGGAATCATCTCTTATGGAGGAATTGAGAGATGATGGGATTCTTCCCATAGCATACCGAGAGTAGAGTGGTCTCCTGCTTTGAAACCCATGTAGTATTTGGATGTTTCCTTGGAATGCATGCCCAATGGAGAAGAGGGAGAGAGAAAGGCTCAATGGGAACCATGGCTATAACCTTGGTGAGAGATTGAGAATAAAATTGATGATCTACTAGTTTCAAGCTTAAAATGTGACATCCTAAGGCCTCCTATTTATAGAAAAATACTAGCGGATTCATATTTAGGAAACCTTACCCTTAATATCCAACATTCATTTAAATTATGGATTGCAGTAGACCTAATTAAGTTAATGGATAAGACACATCTTTATGTCAATTTTTAAAAGATGGAAATGTAGATAATCAAAGCTTAAATCAAGCTGTAATCTCTTGGATCTCTCCTAATAAATGAAGTTTTTCTTGATGAAATCACAATACTGTATTCACCTCACTTTGAGATCATGGTGTAATGTAGTTGCCTGAATGGTATTGATCGAAGTATAGTTCTGTGTTAATCTTCGCCGCTTGAAGTTATTTCCTCTTTTGTTATGCGCTATTTTTTTTTTTAATTCTTTTGAAGAGTTTGTTTATGCTTATTATGATATATTAGCAAAAAAAGTTTCAGTAACCTCTTCTGTTTTTCACAATAATTATCATCCAACAGCTTTGTAACAGATGATGCAAATAAAATACACCACCCTCACATTACAACTGCAGTTCATGCTGCTTTAGTTTCTCTTCACGTTTTTTTTTTTCCAATTTATGAGATATCAATTACAAAGCCGATTTTCTCATAGCTTTGTGGGTGTGGATGGCATACCCTTTCTTTTGTCGCAGGCATGGTTTTCTACCGGACAAAAATGCATGGGTTGCAGTAGCAGCCAAGAACCAGATAGCTGAGCTCTGCTCTTCTGGCGATTAACATTTTTTGTACTGATAAATGGCTGCTGGTCAACAAAGGAAGCGCTTTGCTAGTTCCAATTTGCACGAACTAAAGGGAAAGAAGAAAAAGAGGCTCGACTCATCAGATTATATTTTGAACTTGAGATCACATGTACATTTACAATGGGATGAGGTTCAAAAGAGAGTAGTGGCAAAAAGGGAGCAAATTGGGATAACATGGAAAGACTTGTCTCCCTATGTTGATTCCGTGCCTAAGATTCATTCCGGTTTAGCTGATGTCTTTTCTTTCCCAAAAGAAGTATTCGATTTGGATAATCTAATGGAGGTGCTTTCTCATGAGGTAGCTAGATCTTTCAGTTTTAATTCTTCCCCTTTGATATGACTGAGCTAGACCCACCTATTGGGTTCCTTCTTTTACATCTGGGCTGAAACATTTGATATATTTTTGATAGGTCTGGTTGACTTGTCTGTCAGTGTCTGAAAGAAAGCTTCTCATGCAGTTCCTTCCTAGTTGCGCTTTTCCTGAAGAAGCAGTTCAGTCATTGCTTACTGGGGAAAACCTTCATTTTGGAAATCCTTTCCTTAAATGGCAAGTATTGCGGACCTTAATTCATTTTTAACTGTGAGTGTTATCTTTCTGTTTTGAGATGTTTTCACATTGCATGCTATAAATTTTATACTGACACGTAATATTTCTGATTTTTATGAAGTTTCCAGTCATGAGAAGTGTGCTATGAACATTAGAATTTTAGATTAATCTTTTGAACCATTTGTGGAACGGTCTTGTAGTTAAAGTGTTAAACGTGACTATTTGAGCCCATATTAGTGGCGTGTACATAAAAAAAGCAACTTATCCTGACTTAGATATTCTAAAACTCGGAGGCTGGTGATGGTATTGTTAAAGTAGATGTGCTTAGATTAAAAGCATTTTTATGCTCACACCATTATTTTTGTTAGAGCATGATAATGTGGCAACCCAACAAGAATTACGATATAAAGGTGGCTTAGCCAATGGATGTTTGAATAAACAAGTGTTGGTACATTATAATTTTTTTTCCCTCTGCATTGCTGGTCTTGAAAAATTGTTAAGTTGTCAGAGAGTACATATCATAATTTCATGGTTTTATGTGTAAGTGCATGATTTATCAAGTGACATTACGGGTGCTTATATGTATATATAGCACATAATTTTTAAACTGTAACTGCATTTTGCATTCTATTCGTTAACTACACTCAGGTTTGAACTCTGAACTTGTTATGTACGAGGCCATTGCTTGACGACCTCTTGACCGCCGATCTGCCAGGAACATGTCCTTTTGGAAATAAATATTGCATGGCTGTGGTTAACTTCATCATACAGAACCCATTCTTGTGTCTATCCTGTTTCTTCACTGTGTGTGGAACAATAATCTTTTGTATGTTTTTTTTATTGCACCATTGTTCTTTTTTTCTGTTTTTTTTTTCCTGTTTTTTGTGGGCTCTGAAAAAAAAAAAGATATAGTTAGAACTCCCTATTGTGAAAGAAATTTTGATCAAGACTAGTCTATAGGTTCTATGTTATTTTTCTTCAGTTGGATTTTGGGAGAGGGATATATCGCTATGGACTCTAAGCAGATGGTGGGGGAAAATGATGACAAATTTGATCAAAATCCTATAGTTTTATCACCTTGGGTTATTATGGATCATGCTCTACTTAGCCAATGGATGTAGTTGACCCAACTAATTAGAGGATCTTTATTAGCAACCATGTGTTGCATCGTATACGGGTACCTTGTAGAATTAAAAAAAAATTGTCGAAGGGCTAATTTCATGTATGACCATGACTAATATTGAGTTTCATGCCCTATTGAGCGTGTCTTATATCTCACAACTTATATATTTATCTATTAAGGAACATTAGAGCTTGGCCCTTGATTTGATTAATGTTGTTTAGAAGTTTATTTTGAACACACCCATGCAGTCCAAAGGGAGATTGGCATGTATTCATTGTTGTGAGATTTTTTAATGTAATCTTATAAATGCACTGGATATTTAATTGGCTAATTATAAGTTTCAATTATACTTAAATTTATCAATCCTAGCAAATTAGTGTGGATGGTGTATATATATCAAATATATATATCTTTTTTTTTTAATTAGATTTTGATGGACTTTTTTATGGTTATTATTTACTTGATTGCACAACGGGCCTTCAAAATTCACACCCTATCCTTTTCCATGAGAGTCTTGGTGTTTTCCAGATCAAATTTATAAGGTATATTATATTGAAGATAAGACACTATCTATAGATTTACCTTAATTTTGAGAGGACTTTTTGATCTTATTCTAGATTTTTCATAAGTGCAAGTCCCTATGTTTAATTATTCATCCGGATGATAAGAAATAATTTTTGATTAAGAATAGTTGTTAGATAGATACAAAGTGCTTGACATATAGTACCAGTATAAAGTTTAAAATTTACCAACTTACATTAAAGTCGATGGTGAGGTGAATGCTGTCAAATTTGATCAAGATTTTATGGTTTCGTCGACTTGAGTTATCATAGACCTTAGGTTACTCAGCCTGAGGTGGTGGTTGACCTATTCTGACCAAATGATTTTTGTTGATAAGCATAGATTGTTTTGTCTAAAGGAACTTTGTAGACTTGAGGTGTACATTTGTATAATGAGAAAAATGTTAGTTGAGCTGAGCTAATCGAGAACTTTGTGTCTCATTAAGTGCACCATATAATTTACAAAAGGTTTTTAGTCATCCGGGAATTTGCTAGTTGTGTTGATAATCGCAATTTATGGTGTTATTTTGTGGAAAAAATAAACCAGTTAGAGGGCTCTAGTCATAACCACTTACATGCGGTGTCATTTGATGAGAAAATTACTGGTTAGTTGATGTCACGTACTTGCTGGTGAGAGATCATTTGGGAATGAATCGTAGTGATAGACTTGACAAGACATTGACCATTGAGCTATGATTATTCTTAAATTTATCACTTTGGGCAAATAATTATGGAAGGTGAATAGATTTTGCTTTAAGTTTTAGGGGATTAATTTCTCTTAAAATACTTAAAATTTTATAAGTTTTCTCGATACTTCACATTTTACTTGAGTTTGAGCCCAAAATAGTTTGTACAAAGGTTTGAGGGCATTTTAAAAATATAGTCCCTTTCGGTAGAAATTTGCTTTCAACACGGCTATTATTGAGATATTTTAATATTTTATTTTATCATTTGAACATTGATTTTTTATCTTTTTTTTATTTGCCTCTCTTTTTAGAGAGAGAGTGTGTGTGTGAGAGAGAGAGAGAGAGAGAGAGGCCGATGACGGTTGTGTCAATGACTGAGGCAAGCAAAGATTTTTGAGAATTTGAGAGAGACAGGTGAAGGAGAGATCGAGAGTGAGCGAGTGGGTAGGTGAGGGGGATTTGCGAGGATTGTGCATGGCATGGGTGGTGACATGCACGAAGTGGTTTGTGTACTGGATGGTGTGGATTCCACAAATAAGGTTTTTTTTTGTCAATATGCGCCAGTCTTTTGCCAAGAAAGCCCAAAGCATATTTATCTTAGATTGAGTTGGCATTTTTATGATGCGAATTTTTTCAGTTATGAGTTTCTAATGACTGAAAACATCATTGGGGAAATGCTCAAAGTATGCTTTTCTTTGTGGTCATGAGTTTAGTTTTGATAAAGAACCATTTCAATTATAACATTCTGAGAATTAAAATAATTTTTTGCGCGCCAAATGATTTCAAATGTTTTGCTTGATTTGAAATTGAGGGTATTGATAATAAAGGTTTTACATGGAAGCTCCTTGGTTATGATATATGATACACATCAATATGATAGGAAGTACTTATAGATCTCGAGTATTTCCTATCAATCTTCGAAAAACAGCGAGCTTTCTCCACAAAAATCTGCACAAAACCACGAAAACAGTAGATAATTTGTATTAAAGGGAAACGGAAAATAACAAGATACAATTGATCCTCTATTTGAGAGGATTATCGATCTCTCCCAAATCTCTAGACGCCGTAGAGCCCAAAAGAAAACCTAAATCTAAGAGATCTCAAATTTCATCCAAATTCAAGATGCCCTAACGCTAGGATAACAAACTATTTAATGCATACAAATAAAAAGGAAATCCTTAAATAGTCCCTACATTCAAATTTTCCTCCCAAAATCCTTTCTAAAATGTTTGGTTGGCTCTTGCGTTTCGAACGACTACCGAAGAGGCAAAAGATTTCCGCCTCTATTGCTCTGGGCCAGTCTCGTATGGATCGGTTGGACCGATCTAACAATACTCCTTCTCAAAGATCCACCTTGTCCGCAAGGTGAAAATATGACACCCTCATCAATTCCTTCTTCATCACAAATGGTATGAACTTGAAGAGTTCGGTCCTTACACCTGTGCTCCTGAGTATACTTCTCGTCGCATCTAAAACAGAAACCCTTCGCCCTCTTCTCCTGTAATTCTGTTTCCGTGAGCTTCTTGACGTTTTCCCCGGATCTTCCTTTTGCAGTCTTTTCCTGTGAAGTTCCCCGAAGAGTATCCAATGTTGGCTCATTGGATGCCAATAAGGTGGTGGTCATCTTGTCTGAGACTACTGACATACTGCCTCTAGTTTCTCTCTCTAGGTGCCTCTGATCCTCCACTAACTGAGCTAGTTCCATGGCCTCTCCCAAGTCACTAGGCTTCATTACTCTAACCGCTGCCCGGATCTCTGGTGTCAGCCCCTTCATGAAATTTCCCTCTAGCACTATCTCAAGAAGGCGGTCCAATCGGCTAGCAAGGTACTCGAATCTCTCCCGGTACTCCGTTACTGAACTCTCCTGTGTCAAAGCGACGAACTGCTCGTAGAAGTCTACTCCCTTGCCAGTTCGAAAACGTTCTACCAAATAATCCTTGAACTCTCTCCAACTCCGTATGAGTTATTGCATGTCCCTCCATTGATACCAAGACAAAGCCTTCCCTTCTAAACATAGGCCCGCTGCTGTTAGTCTCCTCTCCTCTGTCAGCCCATTGACGGCGAAATATATTTCTACCTTGTAGATCCACCCGTGCACATCCTTTCCCTCAAAGATTGACATCTTCAGTTTCGTCACCCTCGGGTCACACCCATTTCTTCTAAATCCTCCATTACCTCCCATTCCTTGAAGCGGAGGTGCTCTCCAATTGTCACGATCTTCCCTCCGGCGATCATACCCAAAACATTCATCAAAATCTCTTTATATTCTTTCAAAATCGGCACCCCGAAGATCGAAATTATCCCCTCCTTACAAATTAAGCATCCCTTCTTACATAGCCAATGCTCATCTCCCTCTAAAAAGTGGTTCTAGAGGAGGCATTCCATCTTCTCCCTCCAGGATATCCACTTTTGGATTTTCCCTTACCCTAAACGTGTCAGGGTTTCCATCTCTTCCATGGCCGCTGGTAGTTTCCTTTGTTTCTGATGTCACCGGTTTGATTTTGGCGTCAAGCAATTTCTTCAACATGTCTTCCACCATGGCGAACTTTTCCATCCTTTCATTGACGGATGCAATCTGATTTTGAAGATCAGTGATCTTCTCCTCAAAATTTGCTTTGAGTTGCCCAAGTTCTCCCTCCAAAATTTTCACTTTCCTTCCGGCCATTGATTCCCCTTCGATCGATGTGCTCTAATACCAATTTGATAGGAAGTACTTGTAGATCTCGAGTATTTCCTATCAATCTTTGGAAAACAGCGAGTTTTCTCCACAAAAATCTGCACAAAATCACGAAAGCAGTAGATAATTTGTATTATTTGAGAAAAGGGAAACAAAAAATAGCAAGATACAATTGATTCTCTATTCGAGAGGAGGATCGATCTCTCCCAAATCTCTAGACGCCGCTAGAGCCAAAAGAAAACATAAATCTAAGAGATCTCAAATTTCAGCCAAATGCAAGATGCCCTAACCCTAGGAAAACAAACTATTTAATGCATATAAATCAAAAGGAAATCTCTAAACAGTCCACGCATTCAAATTTCCCTCCCAAACCCCTCAAAAATCCTTCCTAAAATGTTCGGTTGGCTCTTGCGGTCTGAACGGCTACCGAAGAGGCGGAAGATTTCTGCCTCTATTGCGCTGGGCCAGTCCTGTGCGAACCAGCTGGACCGGTCTAACACAATCATACCCATCATAACAGTTAAAGCTTGAAGCATGCTTGCCTTTAAGATAGGAAACTTATATGACATTGATATACCCATCCTAATAAGCTTTGCAGTAATTGAATTCATCATCAAGTTGGAAGATGCGCTAAGTATGTCTTTCAATCTTGGAGGTGTGGTTGTAATGAGGGTTCCCTGTGGGTATGATTTATGATAATCATATCCAACGTAGGGAAAAATGTCTTGGATTGCACATAGGGAGATCAAAGGTGTTTTTGCATGTCAAACGAGGTGAGCAGTGCTTGCCCACATACCTCTATGTTTTGTATTTATATTCCTAAGCTTTCTTTTTCAGTGTTGATGAACTTAGCATTCATTGCATTTTTTGTGATTGGATGGAGAACTTCGCTTTCACCACCTGATTGACCTAATAGGCACATCCAAGTCCTTGGAAAAGAATATTGGTTCTACCAGGGTTGAGAGCATTTCATTATTCATTATTATTATTTTTCATTTGCAATTTGGATAATTGTCAGGCTGCAGACCATGTATGCTCCATTTTTCTTATTGTGTTAAAAACCTATGAAATTCTTATTTTCTTGATATCTACACTCTTTTTTATTATTTTCTTAAATTTAATGGACCATTTTACTTTTTTTGAGCAATAAAATAGAAGTCCTTATCAAGATGAGCACAAGAAAAATTCAAGAAACCCAAAGTATCTTCTAAAATTACCTGAATTTTTGTAATTTCCTAGCTTGTTTTCATATTTTTCTGGATTCCCTTTCATTTTTTCCTTATTTTTTTTCTTTTCTCTTTTTTGCCATGTTTATTTCATCATTATTTTTTATTCAATTTTTTTTAAAAATATGTTGAAATAATATTTTTTTCTTACTAACATCTTTTTTCATTTAGGAGTTTATTTCAGTAATCATTAAAGGCTCATGCTGCTCCACTCTAATATTTGTTATGTTCTCTGATCCTATCCTTACTTCAAAGTACTACATGTATCAAACTTTACATATTAAGTTGCACTTGTTGAGTTCTATATTACTTTTACTTGTCTTTAAACTTTCTTGATTTGCTTGTTCTTCCATTATTCCTTCCATCTTTGAAGCTGTTGGTTGCGTATTAACACCTACAAGATTTTTTCTCGTTTACTCAATATATTATCATTGACTAAACCATTGTATGTAAATTGTCAGGTCTACCTTACTTTGCTCCAGTGATCTACATCCTGATGTTCTTCTTCAGAAGGAACGACACACCAGAGTCAGTAAGAAACAATATAACTTGGAGATAAATAAGTACCATACTAAGTATGTTATATTTTTGTATTGATTTAGCTTAACCTTCTTGTAACTTTCAACTGTTTCATACATGAATTTTGTGTCTGTGACAGCATGGTTGCGGTGCTCAGGATGTTGAAGGAGAAATCAGAAACTTGTGAGGATCCAGAGAAGTTGTGGAGGTTGTTTATTTGTTTGGTTATTTCTTTTGTTTAATATATCTGGAGATAATTTATAAAACTCATCTTGATGACTTCAACTCAATAATTATAATAATTCACTCCTATATCTTTATAGAAAACTACTTGTATGGGACTTAACTACAACTTCATTCAAGTATAAGAAGCTTCACTGCATTGCTCTTCTCTTTTACATATATGTTTGTTATTTTATGCAGTTTCTTAAGTGGGATTGGTTTTTTATCCAGTGATGAAAAAATTTCCTCTTTTTTAAAAATTCCTAGTTGTAATTTGTTGTTTGCTGTGCTCACGAACCTCATGGATGATGTTCTGCTTGTAGTATGCAATGGATTGATTATGGTGCACTTTATATCTTCTGTTGCGTTTTTCTTGCAATGAAAAATATTGCAACTCTTGTTCCTTTCTCCAAACGAGTCTGTTGTTTTGTTTATATATTAGTCACCACTATGCCTGGAGTTTGTGATTTGCAATGTCTAGTAAGAACATCCATGACTAAAGCAAAAAGATATGGGCTTAAAGTTGATCCTTGATGTTATCCAACTGAAATAGGAAAATACTTGGCCAAATCTCCTTGTATTTGAATGCTAGTAATAGCTCTTGCATACATGTCCTTATGGACTTGAATATAAGCATTATTAATCTCTTTCTTTTCTAGAACTCTCCAGAGCACTTCTCTTGAAGTGTTGCCCAAAGAATTTAAAATGATTTGATTTTGTCTATAAAGTAGTTTAGGCTATCAGATTTGTAAATGTATAGAGGACTTTTCTTGAGCTTCGAAGCCGAATAACTTCTCTTGAACCATCTTTTACGTGTTGTTTCATGCCAAGCATCCAATTTTTTGTCTCTAAACTGTATTAAAATTGTGAAGTGAAGACACCACTATGGTACCTACTGTGCATGGTTGGGCTGGCTAACAGCCTTACTAGTGTCACCGAAGTTTTGGTCTGAACCATTCTGAAAAAAAAAATCAAATATTTGCTGGCACAAGCACAAGTGAGCCACTTTTAGTGAGTTGGTTCATAACTTGATAGAAGGAAAAAGTGTATTCGTTGTTGCTTGACCCTCATTTATTTTCATTCGTGCTCTGTGGCTGGCTGTTCTAAATTTTGTTGATTTTAATATTCATCGTCCGTATATTGAGATCATTAAAATATTAGAGCTTCATGTTTCATTAGCCGATTTTGGTGATATTTGGACTTTAATCCAAGTCCATCCATGGAGTTTGTTTCAATTAAACTAGAATAGTGGCCCAAGTCTAATTTGGGAAATATTTTGCCCGGTACTACTAGAAGGAAGGAATAACATGAAAACTATGCTGAGTTACATAATATTTTATTATAAACTGTATGCTCATTCACCCTTCTTTTGCTGCGCTTGAAATCCACAGCATGGTAACATAGGTTTTGCTGCCTATCTTTTTTCAATGTGTTGGTTTTTATGCTTTTCAAGTACTTTTTGGCAAATGCGGTCTATAGAAGAATGAGACTTCTAATCAAGAATGCATTCTATTTGTGTTCGCAGGAAGCTGTCCACTCTGAATGACAGCAGCGAGGGTTCAGAAAAGCCTCATGATTATTTCATACAGAAGGAAGAACTGCCACTGAAAATATCTAATCGCTATGTGGATGAGGCTAAATATATGTCTTATATCAAGGTACTGGTTGCATGCAGCTTTGTTGGTGATTAGAGTTTGGTCCAGCACTTTTTAATATGGAAGCCATGCATTTCTTTTTGATTGAGGGAACTAGTGCCTTCTGGTGCTTGCTGAGTTGAAAGTTGGCTATTATATGAAAGGTTTGAAACCCTAAGATCCTCACTATCATTGCCAGAAGGGTGAGGTGAGATAAAAAAAAAGGGGGTGAGGTGAGATAGAAGAATGAAGTTTGAAGGATTTTTTTATTCCATGAAACTCCTACTTTATTCTTGGCTTGAAGTTGGATGTTTTTCCAAAATGTTATTCACATACAAGATTTGTCCAATATCAACTAATCGACTTAACACCATCATATTTGCAAATACACCACTAAGCTTTAACAAATGACATAAAACGGCCATTGAAATCGCTTTTTCGATTTTTCTAGTGCATTTAGTTTCCCATCCTCCTTGGTTTTGTCTAGTGTGGTGGTATACTTCTTCAGGGAATGGTAATGCGCACACTCTACTCTCCTTGGATTGTGGTGCTTGATGGGTTGAATCTTGTGGCTATTATAGAAAAGGTTTGATAGTCTAAGATTGTCAATATCCTTGTTGGAAGTTGGGATGTCAAAATGGGGTTTTGAGTCGGGTTTGGGTCCAATCCAAAAATGACCCGCCGTTATTTGAGCCAACCCGATTCTAGAAACGGTCAGAAATCTAAACACGGATCCGACCCACTCCAAACTTGGGTCAACCCCACTCGACACGCTGACTCGGGTGCAGATCAGGCGAGCTAGGGTGAGTTGCGAGCTGCGGGGTGCATGAGGGGGAAGGGGTCAAGCGTGGGCTGTAGGTTCGCGACTCGCGAGTGGGGCGTGGGGTCGCTAGTGGGTGTGAACCTGGCAATGCAATGCACGCGGCTGAGGGGGGTACGAGTCTAGCAATGCGTGAGCGGGCCTTGGGAGCACCTGAGCGCAAGGGGAAGGCCACGAGCCGCAGGTGTGCGGGTGCCGATACAGGACACGGACGTGACGTGGTGCACCGCCTACACCGGTGCGACCCTGCGGGCTGGAATGTGGGACGCGTACCACGCAGTCATGCGGATAGCAGGAGGGGCCAGTCAATGTGATGCAAGACCTATAGCTTGAGATTGGCTTGCAGATCCAGGTCAACTTTTGGCTTTTGGGTCAACCCAAATCTGACCTGATTTTAAAAATGGGTCAAAAAACGGGTCAAATTAAAATCAGTTCGGAAATCTGAACCCGACCTGTTTGCCAAAAAGGTTGACCAAAACCAGAATTTTTTTGAGTCGGGCTCGGGTCGGATTTTAGGTTGGGTTAAATAATGACACCCCTAGCCGGAAGGATGAGGAGAGATGGAAGCATGAAGTTTAAAGACTTCATTATTTGTCGAAACTCTTGCTTCATTCTTGGCTTGAAGTTGGATGATTTCATGACTTTTTCTCATAAATGTTGTGGTTGATCCCTTTTTTATACCATTTAAAATATTTATCTTGGATCAACTAAGAGACCTTAATGCCCGCAAATTTGCAAATACACCTCTAATCTTCAACAAATGACATAAATGACTATCTAAAATTACCCGCATCTAAAATTCCCTGATTTGATATTTCTGGTGCACTTAATTTTGCATTCTCTATGGTTTTGTTCAGTGTGGTAGTTCACTTCTCTTGGGAATAGCATAGAATAAGGTGCACACTCCTACTTTTGCTTGATTGTATTTTGCTTGCTTAATCCTCATTTATGCATGTAAAGTAGATAAAATATTATCATAAGCCTTTGTTCAATAGAAACTGGTTTTCCGCTTAATATTAAGCTCACAAAGGTAATGTGACCTTCTGTGGCGTGAAGTTGACGACTTCTTGTATTTACAGGTAAATAAGAAGCAATTCAAAATGCTAAAAGAGCTAAAACATTCTGGTGATCACATTCAGTCCAAATCCGTTAGCCATGTGCTTGGTGACATCAAAAACTTTCATGTATATCCATATAAATTGTATGAGGATGAGGAAAATAATAGGCTTCGAGAACATTGGTTAGCATTTTAATCAATATAGCTTTCACCTTGCCTTGAATTTGAGTGATCAAATCATTTTGTTCCCACAGGATGCAGGTGGCTAAAGATACCCATGCAGCTTTTGAAAAGTACAATAAGAGGAAGTTCCTGAAAATGCACCGGATGGAATGTTTGGAGAAAGAACTTGCTGAATCAAGAGCATTGCTTCATGAAAAGGTTCGACGATTGTTATTGTTTCAAATTGTGCATTTGTAGAAAGTTTTTTTTTATAACATGCATAGTTGCTATCAGAATTATCTTTTACTGCATTATTTTTCCACCCTTTGCCTTTAGAATTTCTGATTGTGAAGATTTCATGCTGATTTCTTCTAGGATTATCGAACTTATAATCTGCTTTACTGCTATACCATATCTTTTTATTACTGAGTAATTCTAGCACTTGCAGAGTAGGCCAAGGAAGCTGGTGTGAACAGTTTAGTAAGATTAAACAATTGATGTAAAAGGGTATATTATACCCCTCTAAGTTCAGCATTTCATATTATTACCTTTGAACTAATGTTCATTCTTAATCAAAATTCGGTTGTCTGATTCATAGTGTTGTCCTTAACTGCTCTTGATTTTCCAATCTTTTTGTCTTTACTGAAGCCTTTTACTTCCACTATTTAAGTAGAAAATTGTTGTGTTGAAGTCGTAATCGTTTTATCAGGCTGAGGAATCAGTTCTGGGGAACTCACCTGGTCATTCCATTGTTTCAACTGATGAAGAAGATTCTCGTTCCCGTTCTGTCTCTGCTCATGATCATACGTTGGAGCGAATACCTTCTCTCAACAGTGTTCGAGAGCTCAACCCTTCCATTTCGGATCAAGAAACAAGAAATGAAAATACACTGAAACCTGCAAAAAATACACTTTCTCCCTCACAATCTGTTGATAAAATGGATTCCAGTCAGATGGTCGAGGAACTAAAAGCTCTCATCTCACCATTGAAGAGCACCTGGATTTCTACTAATTGTGAGGATTCAAACTATCAGAAACCTTCACAAACCCATTTGTTTGCATCTTCTGATGTACCGCTCAACCAATGCCAACATTTTCAAGTTCAAGCAACACCGATAATCAATTTGGAAAGAGAAAGCATGGAGCAGGTTGCTGGGCGGCTTCTTCCCTCATCTTTTAGTGTCGAAACTACTTCACAATTGTTCGGTTCTTATATCCAAAGCCATGATGAGGTGATTCCAACTTTTCCAATGGCATCAGATATACTTTCATCACACATGAATGATTTGAGCCAACCCGGACTACAGTTATTGATGAATGATGGAAACTTGCGAGAAATCGATCGGTTCCCTCTTCTTGAGGATAACCACGAACCCATCAATGAAAGACATTCTTGTGAGAAAGAACTTTACCTGCAAAACATGATTGACAAGAACTTCTGCAACAAGATCAGGTATGAAAATCAGCTAGGATACTATCCATCATCGAGTTCAAGGTGTACTTTGCAATCCTGTGTCACTGATAGATTAGGGAGGCAAAATTTGTTTCCTAATGAACATCAGCCACATAATGTTTGGTCTGGAATTGATTCTTCTGGAAATGGAGTTCAAAGTGGCAGTGGTGATGGGAGTCTCTACAGTGTCTTGCCTGAATTCAGAAATTTGCCTTTCCGATTGTCTTTCGACGCCGCTGGTTCGGACCAACTGTTGCGGCCTCCAAACTATATTGGTATGAGCATGGCTGAACCATTCATCCCAACTCAAGTGAGTAGCTCTACAGGTCTTACCTCTGCTCCAATTCCTTCAGTAGACTTGATGCGTATTAATTACACCCATCAGAACCCCCCAACTCTTCAAGAATCTGCCATGAAGCCATTTATGAGGCATTGGCACCAATAGCAAAATCTCATTTTAGGCTGGAACTCATCTCTTCACAGGCAATGCTTAAGGGGGAGTCTGATGATTGACAAGCCCTTGGAAGCAAAGCTTATGAATGTGCATAAATTTATGAACAAGTGTATTTATACAAATTTTATTTATTTTTCCTCTTGAAAGGATATTTTGTTAGTGAAAGTTTTTCTTTCTTTTTATCCTCCTATTTAGAAATTTCTTTTATTTTATTTTGGAATGAAAACTGCGCAAGTAATATTATATAATAATTATTTATATCATATTATATAATATATATATATTATATATATATATTATATTATATATATATTATATTAATATCATATCTGAATACCTATTTGCATCTCCAAAATCTGACTCCTATCAGATAGTGCAGGAGATCTCCTTGCAAACAATTTTTTTTCAGTATTTTTGTGTGGTGAATCTTCAAGAGATATGCCATCTTAATAACAAGATTTTTTGATTGATGACTCGTATGGGAATCATTAGCAAATTTAGGTTTCGTTTGGGACGATTTTCTTACAGCTTCTTAAAGTAACTCTCATGTACTAAAATGCTGATTTATAAAACAACGAAAAAATCGTCTCAAACGAAATCTTAATCAACATGCAACATGCTTATTAACTTTACATTCAAATGGTCCTATTTAATTATTTTCAATTGCAAAATAGCTACTTGAAAAATATTCCATTTGATTTTTTAGTACATTCCTTAATCAGCAACAGTGGATTAAATTAGAAAACCTTGCAAGATGTCCCAAAAACCTTGAAGCGCACCAAGGAGAACGACATGCATGGTGCAGCAAAGAAAAGCTTCAAAAGTTTCCTCCAAAACCTGAAAACAAGATGACATATAGATAGAAATTTGTACACTTTTAAGTTCACTCAACACGCCAACAATACCATTCAATGAAATACAGAGAACAAATTTTTTATACATTTATGATTTCACATACACAATGGGGATAAAAACATAAAAGAATATTACAGATAGATTTCGATCTGTACATGTATTCTTTTACTAGTAATTTCCTTTACAAGCTTCAAGGCCATGCTGATAAAACTCGCATGGAGTCCAGGAGATCCATAATTACTACTGGAACAACTGGCTGCCAAGGAGCACAGTAGTTGTTCCTTCACCTCTGATGGTTGTCAGGTTCATTTCTTTCTCACGAATTCGATCAAGTTCAGATACCAAATAACTCGATAGAGGCCGTCTCTCGCCGATCGGGTTCAAGCACCAAACTATTAGCTGCACAAATTCTCTTATGCCTTCAGAAGTGAAGCTGCTGCTCATTCTTTGGTCCACAAGGCTGGTAATGTCACTCACATCCTGACACTTCTGAACCTTCATATGAAACGGCCATCAATGGAGTAAAATCAGAGTCTTAGCATATAGGTATTTTATATGCATTGTAAGGGTACATAAATCTCTCCAGACTATAATGGCAGGAACCTCAGGAGTGAGAAAGAAAGATTATCAAAAGCATTTCTGCTGATATTGCTACATGTTTTTATTATTTGCAAGGGATTGGCAAATCGGAAAAGCATTACATGAACTTACATTGCAACAAGTCATCAGTCAAATGATAGATTCCTATGCCAGTTTTTGATTTGAGCCACACATTTGTGTGGGCCACCACATTTTAGAGGTACTATAAAGAGCTCTTTAGTGAGTCTTAGGCTTCGTTTAGGATGACTTTCTTATTGCTTCTTAAAGTAACTTTTTAGTGTAAAAATTATAATTTTTTAACTAAAAAGCTGCTTTAAGAAGCAGTAAGAAAGCCGTCCCAAACGAAGCCTTAGCACTAACATATGAAGTTCATTTTTTTCATAGCTATGTTTAAGTTTGATGGAATTAGAGGGAACATAGATTCATTTTATTTCACAATTTCACATTTGGTGTTTGGTTACAAGGCAATTAACAAGTAATTCTATTTACCTTGGAAATATGAACAAATGCATTTCTCATAAAAACTCTACCCAACTCTAGGCAAAAAAAAAGAGAGAAAAGAGACGAAAAATTTACGCTGTAATTGATTTGACTAACATATCCCTTTTAAACAACAATAACATCAAGCCTTTATCTCACTAAGTGAGATCGGCTGCATGAATCATTTTTTCTCCATTGTGTTCTGTTAAGAGTCAAATTCTCATTTAAATCAAATAAAAAGAAGTTATTTCTAATATTTTCTAATCAAGTCTTTCTAGGTTTACATCTACCTCTCTTAACATAGGTCAAATCTAATACATCTACTCTCCAAACCGAGCCATCAGAAGGCCGACATTTTATGTAACCAAACCATCTTAAAGAAACTCTCTCTAATTTTATATGCCATTGGAGCTACTCCAACCTTTTCACGTTATTGCTCATTTCACTTTTTATCTCTAAGAGTAAAACCGCTCATCCACCTGAGCATCCTCATTTATGCAACACTTAACTTAATTGTATGTTTTTCTTTTAATGACAACATTTTGTGCCATAAGACATTGTTGGTCTCACCAACATCTTATAAAAACTCAATTTCACATCAACCAAATAAGAAATTTAAAATATTTTTCACTCACTTTCTCCTAACTCAAACAATTGATGAAAACTAATTCAATTCAATTCCTTTGTCATTTTCATTGTCCATTGTCCATTGTCCATTTTCTTTTCATTTCACCTCTTTCAATTCCTTCAAACCAAACAAGTTCCTCCTTTCCATATTTACCTCAATGTCAAAACTACTGAAAATATAAGCAACTTCAAGAAAAAGTGTCAAGAACATAGTATTAGAAAAGTGAAAATTATACCATTAAATCAAATAAAAAGGCAAAATGGAATAAGAATAGATTGCCTAACCTTCATATGCACGGATAAAAGTATGTAAATAAAGAGTATAAATTTCTTCATAATATTTCAATGAAATCTGCTGTAAAATGCATTAACATAAATTAAATACCCATTTTCTGATGCTTTGCTCGGATCTGGCTTCCTTTCCACTAACTAACTCCATAAGAAACACTCCAAAGCTATATACATCACTCTTTACTGAAAATCTTCCAAACTCCCTCACCCTACATGAAAACAAATAAGCGTTGGTAAGAATAAATTGTGTCACAGTTGCATTTGCCAATAAAAGTACTAATACCCTTATCTATAAAAAGGGACATAATTGTTGGGAATTAGGCAAAACTTATGCTTCGTTTGGGACGGCTTTTTTACTACTTCTTAAAGCAGTTTTCTAGTATAAAATTTTTAATTTTTATTCTAAAAAACTGCTTTAAGAAGCAGTAAGAAAGCCGTCCGAAACAAGCCTTTAATGGTCAGATAAAGTTCTCTTCTTACTCAGGATCAAGGAAAGGATCATCTAGTGTAATTTGAGACGATCCAACGCCATCTACTCGATATAGCAAGATTCGAAGCCCAGCATCTGCTACTTTTGGAATGAAATCCTCGTCAACTAAAACATTTCCTGTTTTAAAGTTCATATGCACCAGAGGGGGATTAAGAGCATGCAAATGATCCAAGCCTGCTCAACAGAAATAATACTAGAAATCAGAATTAGTTTCCAAAGTCCAAAACAATGGATGATAGAATTCAAGCCAAAAGTCTTATAACAATATGACTTAACAAACAAGGTTTCTCCAAATTAGGTTGGATTACATTTTTGCAACTCTAGGAAAAGAAACCAATACCAGCTTAACCATGAATGCCACTGGTTTTGCAAATCATCACCTGTGGCTACACCATGAGCAATGGAAAGCCTGTTCTTGAACTCTTCTAGCCTTTTAGTTGAGGCCTGACTTGCTCCTGCGAAAGCAAACGAGAGGAAATAAATGGTGTTACTCATTTTTATTATCCAAAAATTCTATAAAATTAGAGAGAAAGAGAAGGAGACCATATAAGTGTGCAGAAACACTCCCATTTGGTATGTACTCATAGATTAGCATTTGCAAATCACTTTCCTGGCAGTAACCCAGTAGACTCACCAAATTCTTATGCCGAATTGATGACAAGTACCGTACCTGACAGTCCATTTGATCAAATTAGAACAATATCTTTCAATATGAAACAGAAAAAAACATTAAATCTAAATATGAGAGCCAAACAAGATTAAAGTAAAAGTTAAAATTGATTTCAATTGTTTCATAAAAAATCTTTAAGGAAATGCAGAGTTCTACTTAATAAGCATGAGAGAGGAGGCTGGAATCAAAATATAATGCTAGAATTTAACTCTTTTACTGTTTCTTAAAGTAGCTTTTTGATACAAAAATTAAAAATTTTATACTAGAAAGCTAATTTAAGAAGCAATAAAAAAGCCGTCCCAAACGAAGTCTTAATTAACTTCTAAAACGGACTCGTTTCTCCTGTATATTCAAGCAAGTCTCTTTAATGATTTAATCTCCATAAATAGAGCACCAAAAGAGTTAAATTCATAAGAAACCAACCTCTTCAATAAAATCCTGGCTGGGAGCAGCTGGTCTTCTTTTAATAGCAACAATCATTCCATCTTGAAGCAGACCTTTGTATACTTCTCCAAATAGTCCATGTCCAATTAGATTAATATCATTAAAGTTCTTTGTCGCAAGATTGAGTTCTTCTAGCCCAAAACGTCGTGATGATCCTTGCACTCCGGGTAGGTATGAAGTACTTTCTTGAACTAATTCAACACTTTGTCCAGCTGAAACATATTGAAATGAGAAGAACATCCATTATCATAAATAAGACCATCAATGCACAAAAGAAACCTCCTGAAAGACATTTTCTACCTTGCATAGATGGTTCGGATGAGTTACTTTCTGATGTTCTTGAAGTACTTCGACGCAAAATGCAGTACCTTACAACAAAAATCAATATCCCGACCAATGCCAAGGCTCCTGCAGCACTTCCAAGAGCTGCTGCAAGAGTCATTGACATCTGGTCTCAGATCCACCTTAATACTACAGAACAGTCCTTCCAAATTATGAGATTCTATACATTTTTCCTGAAAGAAAAATGAACAAGTTCTTCATTAACAACCAACCTTATTAGTAAATGAAAACTAGAAATATATTCTTTATTTTAACAAAGAACAAACAAGCATGCTTGCTTCAGTTACATACTTCAGAGTGAAGACAAAACAAAATTTTAGTTCAGAAAAGATTGTATAGAACATATTAGCCACTGAGTTAGTGATAACTGTGCATGATATGTTCAGTAGAGGGTGTGGGTCTGTACTAGTGGTTGGATTGCCATTTTTGTGATATAAAGCTGTTGAGTTTGAGTAATGGAGAAAATCTTTACACAAATATAAGGTTAAGGTTGAGTAAATTAACTCCACCTAGGTTTTGTATTAGCACAAGCCAAAAGCTTCATGCATTGGGTTACAACTTAGGCTTCATTTGGGACGGCTTTCTTACTGTTTCTAAAAGCAGCTTTTTAGTACATCAAATAAAATTTTTATACTAAAAAAATGATTTACGAATCAGTAAGAAAGCCTTTTAAGTTCTATACTCATGACTACAAGCATGAATGAAAGAAAGCAAAAATAACCACTGAACTCTATATAATGTGAAGTTGTCTTCGATCATTTGGGCATATAAATAAGACAGAAGATTCATCTCCAAGGAAAGTATTGATGATAGTGTGGAAGGATCCAAAAGGAAAATGGGCAGATGAAAGCTAACAATGTGAAATGGCTAGAAGTAGTGGAAAAAGGTGCAATAAACTGAAATGAACAAAGGAGAATTCTTAAAGCTCAAAGCTGACACCAAATAAATGCTAAAAGGCTAATGATTGTATTAAATGACACTGTAAAATGACATGCACAACTATATTAAATAAACAAGGCAACTCAAAATCTAGACAAAACCCTCGGTTCACAAGCAGATTTCCAAATCTTTTAAAACTTAACAGTAGAGAAGTCCATGATAAACTAGAAGACATGCATCCTCAATAGCAATATAAAAATGCAATTATCAAAATCTGCATTTATATCACATTTATCATATTAACGCCACATAAAAATACACACTCAAAAACTTCAAAATCTGAGAAACAAATCAGGAATTCCAGTTGAAAATCAACACAGAAAACCTGTAAAAAATTTAAATTGGCATCAATCCATTACCTGCAGAAACTTATGATAAAACTATCCTGGCTTGAGACAGCCTTGACTAATCGTCAGAGAAAATTACAACTCCCAGACAGACAAGACACAAAAACAGCTGTTCTACTACGCATCTTGACTTTCTCAGATCTGTATGAGGGTTTCTCCTCACCAATTATACAGAGAAACAATGAATTGACCAGGTAAAGAGGAATAAATCAGAAATCCAATCGAAACGGAAAAATCCAAGCCAAGCTTCCCAATCTTCCAGCGCCGCAAGGGTAGCCCTGTATTTATATCAACCAATAATTTACCGGCAACCCACACAAATGGATCATCCTTCCAAAAGCTTAAAATGCCGGCTGAAAGCGACACAGCGCCGACACTATAGGATACTTAAGAAAAAGATTCAATTTTTTTTCTTTTTTCACCTTCTTCTGTAACTTTTCTTCTTCATTCCCTATTCTCATCATCCTCCCCGCTTTAATACAAACCAGCAAAGCAAAAGCCCCCTCCTTTCAGCAGAATGTTGCATTACAACCCATTAGGAAGGAAAAAAAAAACAAAATACAGTGGCAGGTATGAACTGGCGAACGCAAAAAAGAACAGTTTTTGAGAGAGAGAGAGAGAGAGAGAGGGAGTGAGGGAGGTATCTGATTTGTGGGCTGTAAAGCATTCTTAAAGAGTTGTCCGGTACTGCAAGTTGGCGATTTTATGTCATTCTGCACATTTCTTTTTCATCTTTTTCATCTTTTTCATCCCTTATTAGTCCTTGGCATCTTTAAAGAATAGCCATCAAGAAATCAAAGTAGGGTTTAAGAGAGCAAAGGAAGGATGAAACGAAGGAAAGAAGAAACAAGAAATTTACAAAGGGCAATGGCGGAAATGAGTAGAATGTTTGCTATGGAAAGCTGTGGGGTTGTTAGCACAATAAGACAGCTATGTTGACGTTGTTCCTACCAAAATAAAAATGATAAAAAAAAAAATCAGATATAAACTGAGAAGTGAGAGAGGGAGAGAGAGAGAGAGAGGGGAAATAACGGCTACCTCTATGTTTGAGCTGCCTCTTCTCCACTCTCCACCTACTTCAATTATCTTCTTATCAGGACTGTTAGTTTTGGATTAAAAAATGAGCTGGTTGGTATTCTTCTATGATTAAAACTTCTATGTTAAAACTGGAGAACTTTGCTCTCCTGGTTGTCATTAGTTACATACAAGTGCAACACAGCTGTCTTACTGTATTTATTAATGTGGATGCAGTTGGGTATCAAGATCCAACCCACATGGAGGGAAACCTTAGGCCCATTTTACATGATTTATTGCAAAAAAATTGCGAACTTTTTTTTATTGCATAACCCATAATTATTAAATGCTGGTAAATTATATATCATAGTAAGCATAAAAGATTGCATAACACATAATTATATATCATGGTAAATTATAATTTTATTGTGAAGTTTATGTACTCAACATCACTTCTAATTTTTTGAATTTAAGATGAAGAGCAAAAATAAAATATTATTGTAGGATTAGATGAGATCATTTAAAGAATATTAATAAAAATATTTTGAGAGTAATATATTAGATCTTAAGATTTTACCCGTGCATGAAGAAGCTAATATTAATTACGTGAGAAAAAATTGCTGGTGATATTAAAAATGTTTTAACATATGTGCTTAGAATATTAAAGGGAGAAATTCATAATAGTAAAAATAGTTGGCGGTAAAATCAAAATATACAAGAAAACATAAAAAAAATAAAAAGATTTGTTATAAAAATTAATTTAGATGTAAATTTTGGATAATTGAGAAAGATATAAAGAGATCAGTGAAGAGTCTAAGAAAATAATATGCTATGCAAAGATTTTAGCTTTTAATGATTTATATAATACATTATATTTTAAGGATGGTGAAAGATATATGTATAAGTTAGTCAAGCATAGAGATAAGAGTAGTAAGGTTTAATTCAAGTGAAATGTATTAAGGATGAATATCAAAAAGTACTTTAATTAGAAGAGAATATTCAACAAATGTGAATGAGATATTTTTATAATTTTTTCAATGAAGATTATGAGAATGTGATTGACTTTAACGACTTTAGCATCCTAAATGAAAATAATGATAATTATTTTTATCGGCGTATTAGTAAAACTAAAATTAGATAGGCTTTTAAAAAAAGAAAGTGTGGAAAAGCTATTAAACGTAATGATATTCCAATAGAGGTGTGAAAATGCTTAGGAGTTAAAGGAATTTCTTGGTTTACTTAAATTTTTAATATTATTTTGAAGACTAAAAAGATGACAAAAGAGCGGAGAATGAGTTTGTTGATTCATATTTTTAAGAATATATGTGATACATGAGATTGTGTGAATTATAGAGCAATTAAGAGAGTTATAGAGCATAGGTTGTGGTATGGTACTAATATTTCTCAAAATCAATTTGTATTCATGCCAAGTAGTTCTACTATGGAAGCTATACATTTATTGAGAGGTTTGATGGAAAAGTTTAGAGAGAATAAGGAAGATCTGCATATGTTATTTATTGATTTAAAGAAAGCATATGATAAAGTTTCAAGAGAAATGCTTTGGAAAGCTCTAGAAAAGAAAGAATTTAATAATGTTTATATTCAAGTTATTAAGGATATGTATGCAAGAGCTGTTACTTGTGTTCAGACACAAGGTGGTTTGACCAAGTATTTTCCTATTTCAGTTGGATTACATCAAGGAACAACCTTAAGCCCATATCTTTTTTGCTTTAGTTATAGATGTTCTCACTAAACATTTTCAAGAGGTTATACCCTGGTGTATGCTTTTTATTGATGATATTCTTCTTACTGATAAGATTAGAGAAGGAGTTGAAGATAAACATGAATTATGGAGGTTAACCTTAGAGTAATATATGAAGTGTAATTTTAGTAATAATAGTTTTTGTGAGAGGATTGTGACTTTGGGTGATTAAGTCATTAATAAGAGTACAAATTTTAGATATATTGAGTATATTGTTCAAAGTAATAGTGAAATATATGGGGAAATTATTAGTATAATTCAAGTTGGATGGTTGAAGCAGAGGAATGCAACGGGCTTGTTATGTTATAGAAAAGCCACTCATTAAAAAATTCCATAAGATGGTGGTTAGACCTTTAATGCATTATGGTGTAGAATGTTGGCCATTAAAAGAGAAGCATAATATTACGTGAAGTGTTGCAGAGACGAGGATGCTCAGGTGGATGAGTGGTTTTACTCTTAGAGGCAAGATACGAAATTAGCATATATGTGAAAAGGTGGAGTAGCTCCACTAGAAGATAAGATTAGAGACAGTCGTCTTAGATTGTTTGGTCACATAAAATGGTGGCCTTATGATGACCCAGTTAGGAAAATTAATGTATTATATTTGACTTATGTTAAGAAAGGTAGAGGTAAACCTAAAAAGGCTTGGTTAGAAAATATTAGAAATGACATTTCTTTATTGATTTAAATGAGAAATTAACTTTTAACAAGGCGCGCACAATGGATAAAAATGATTCATGTAGCTTATCCCATATAGTGGGATAAAAGCTTGTTGTTGTTGTTGTTATTGTATTAGCATTGTTTCAAATTTCATATATTTATTGAGAAAAACATTTAGCTAGCTACATATTTTTTATACAGTAGAACGATATGATATGATCTTGACAAATCCTCATAATACTCCCTTCATTCTTATGCACATAATTAATTCATTCCATCCTATAAAAGATTGCAGTTTTTTATTTTGTATTTCTTAGCTTATAATTCTTTAAAAAATAAAGATATTAAAGTAAATAAATCGATTTATTTATATTCATGATAAAATAATTATAATTTTTTTTCATCTTATAATTTTTATCTCCAATAGTCGAGGCTTGGTTGAAGTTAAATTATGTAAGACTTCGTTTGGGATGACTGTTTTATTGCTTTTTAAAACAATTTTTTAATACAAAAATTAAAATTCCTGTACTAAAAAACTGTTTTAAGAAGTAGCAAAAAAGCCATCCTTAATATCTTTATTTTATTTTTTATTTTCTCTCTTTGGTGTGTTTATTTTATTGCACACCTTCCCAAATTGACTTTTGTTGGTGCCTCTCATTATAACAAACTAGTTTTAGAATATATTTCTAGATCGATGACCAAAGAGTTTGATAGGTTGAAAATTTCTGGCTTAAGAGAACCAAGATGCATGGAATAATTATCTAAGTATTGTGAAATCGTTCACAGGTCATTCCAAGTTGCCAACTATGAAATTGTATTTGGAAGATGAGGTTTTAATGGATTTCTTAATTGGAGGAGTCAACCAAAAAAAGATTTATGATTGAAGTTAGAGTCATTGTTAATGACAAAAGCCTCTCCAATAAATGTTATTTGAAGCTAATATTTTATTTATTGTACATGTGAGATGATGTGTTGATCAAGGCACATCTACCAACTCTGTCGACCATCATCAGCCTCCATTGAGTGACACTGACCAACAGAGGTGGAACCAGCCTTAATTTGCCGCATGAGGGGGGGTTGCGCAAACTTATAAGTAACTGTCGGTGGTACAAGTGAGGAGCGCCCTCGGAACAAATTTTAGTTATAAATAGACCATAATATTTTAAAACTTTTCTGGGAGGGGGCCTTATAATAAAGACTAAAAAATAGATGAATAGGGACAAATTACCAAAGAATAATATAATAATAATAATAAAATTTTTAGGTGGGTTAGAAAAGCACATTGTTAATAAATATAGCTTGTGTGTAATAAAAAAATTACAAATTTATTTTAAATTTAATAGATTTTAGATCTGTCGTATGTAAATGAGATTAATAAAATAAAGACATACATCAAAGAGATGTGGAAGTACCTACTAGCTAGATAAAATAATTACAAACAAGAAATTTAAATAATTTGATCATGCACTATAATTAACAATTAAAAATCAACAATAGGAAGGGATAAAAAAATAATAATGCAAAAGTTAGAGGACGAAAAAGTAAATAAATAAAATTTTATATTACTAGAAATTAAATAAATATTTAGATTATTAATTAAAATATTAACTCTATAACCCTCAGCATAAAACAGAATATTTAAAATATTATTGCCACTTAGGGGTGGTGCTGCCTTTGCTCTAGTTTTGATCTCATTAGTGATAAAGCTTTAATTCATCATGATTATAACTTATACATGTAATATTAATGGGGCCCTAAATAATTAGTGGAAGACACTTTCTAATAAATCCCTAACCCTCCAAAGAGGTTTATTAGGGATTTTATTTTTTATTTTTTTTTTAAATATAATTTATTTTCTTAGATGTGTTCAAGTGCTTGTATGTGTAACATATAATATTTTGAGAAAATATATTTTATTTTATTTTATATAATATAATAAAGATATAAGACCAACTTAATCATATCAAATGCATGAATATTATATCTAAATCGATGCTTGACAATTCTCATGAAATGATTCATGTATATTATTTTCCGTCCGTCCATCGAACATCGTTGGATTTTTGTCCGATCTTTATTTGCCACTAGATTTCAATCCAACATTTGATTGTTGTAATATGATCATCCTCAATAAGGCAGACCAACCATTTTTAATCTATTCAAATACTAGTGAAATCATTTTAATTGGGCATGACCTTGTGGTTTTTCCTTTTTCCAGCATTTTTCACGTAAAAAATCTTGTGTTTCTAAATTCTCTATTTGTGTGATGGATATCCGTAAAATGCTGAGACATAAAATTTTCTAACGCTATCGCCGCTTATATTCTAGCTCGCAATAATTATAATAATAACTATTACTTCTACTATAAGTATTTAATGCATGAAATAATATTGATATGGTCATATAAATAAGATATGATAAAAAAAAAATATTTCTTCCCCTTCTGATCCTAATTATGATAGTTTCTTTATCACCTTCCCTCTCATGATTTTCAGAAGAAAAACTATGGACAAGAATCTCATTCCTTGTGCTGAATTCTCTCATAAAGAATTTTCCTCACCTGTTTATTATTCTAATTATCATATATTAATTGTTACTTTCTTGCGCAAGTGATTACCGACCCATTGGTCTCTATCAAAGGAAGTAAGCTCCTCCTCTCTCCCACAAAATTCATTAAAATAAGGCTTCGTTTGGGACGACTTTTTTATTGCTTCTTAAAATAGCTTTATAGTTTAA